GTCCGCAGGTGGCCCAGTGTGGCGGCGCTTCATGGGTGGGGCTGATCTCGCTTCGCGTGTCCGGACGTCTGAGCGCAGCTGCTTCCTGGGCAAGGTGCTTTACCTGACCCTCTACCGTGAACCAGCTGGAGGGGGTGCCTGAGATGAAGGTTTCGTAAGGCGCCCAGAATAACGCTATCGCTTACAGCTATCAAGCAAGCATGTTATAATCCTATTATTAGCCATAACACATTATCAGTGATAATAACATCCCAAGGATAAGATGGCTGCCACTATGTTACTGAACTTTGGGGTTTTGGAAATCCAGAGAAAGAAATCCGAAGAACGCCCATGTTAGGCAGCAGGAGGGTGCGGCATCCTTGTCACAATACAGATAATAAATATATCTAATAAATATCATTATTATTGGCCCAATCTTCCACCATAAAGGAGCAGCAGTGAAATATGGCACAGGAGACACGGCTGGATATTGGCAATATATCAGCATTGATTATTGAGACCACTGACAGAGCGAGAGAGAGGAAAAGTTAATAAAAACTAATAAAAAAGACTACCAATAGGGAAAGAACAAGGGCTTTAGATGGATTCACTGTGATTCAGTATTGGAAAGAAGGAGAGAGGCACATGGAGAAGGGAGGGGAGCAAGAATGAGCAAGAGAGAGAGAGGGATACACATATAGGTAATTGTGTATATGTGTATGCCTTTGTGTTTATGCGCCAGAAAGGACAGTTTGGTCTGATTTGTCTGTTAGATATACTAATGGGAACACACACTGGCTAGGAGCGTACCTGGGACTCCCTGGGCTTGACACCATGAATGTAGTTCAGTCTGCCTGGAGCTGAGAGACTTCTATTGGCCAGATCAATACACACGCGCGCGTACGCACACACACATCTGTCTCAAACTATCTGTTAATGAGCACTGGTTACAGTGACTGATAGGATTCTACTAAGGCTGGCCTCCCCCAGTTATCTTAACGAATCAGACCGGTTTTTAATGAGGACGTGTTACAAGGTGCGCGTCTGCGTTCAAACACAGAGTTCCGTGACAGTGAGAGAGTGTCGTCCGCGATAATAGGTGCCTGTTACAGCAGCGAAGGAAGCAGTAATATAATTGTTTGCTGCTATTGATTGGTGTGCCGCGTTATTGATGTAAGAGAATTTAATTCAACCAGATCGTTTGTCAATGTGACATCACCATTTAACAGCAACTGCAACACAAACACTCGCATCCTAGTTTAGCAATGGCACCGTGCATAGTTTGGCCTCCTATAAGGACTATTATTATTTCCCCTTAGTCGTGTTAATTATGCGAAGTCATCAGTGGCAATATGAACAGCAACAACAGTGTTTTCAATGTAAAAGAATAATGCGATAAAACACTGTTAAGGCAGGTTCTTTTTTTAATAACCTTCCTTCTGCGAATCAAACAGAAGTCAGAACAAATACTATGCGCGCGCAAATCAGGCAAAATCTTATTAGTATGAAGCTACATTAAAAATGGCCACCATATTAAATGGTCTTCAACCACTTCCCATCCAATTTAAAGCTACATATTTTTGAAGTCCAGTCTGGCCGTCGTAATATGTTAAAGCTAAATGAAGTGTTCTTCCAAATAATAGCACTGTAATCGTTTTGATTATGACGACATTTTCTTGACCCACCAACCTGTTGTTTACAATCCTATTTACACCTTCATGGTTATTATGATGGTGTTTTGCTATAAGACTGGTCATTCATGTTCGTTTAAAAAAAAAAACCCTGAAATTATGCCGTAAACCTTTAACTAGTCTGACTTTTGAATTTAATCGTTCTTGTTTAGTAAGAATGGCTTAAAATTAAAATGTAACTTTTTAAATCTGTAGCATTTACACAGAAAATATTAATTTCACAACGTATTCGGCTGGCATCCCATCCAGTGCGCACCCCAGCGTTGTACCCTGTGATGTCTGGGATAGGCTCTAGGCCCCCCAGTGCCCGCCCCCCCAAACCGTGACCAGGATAAGAAATGAGGGGATGGATGGATGGATGGATGGATGGAAGGATGGATACATCTTCAGGTTAGCCACAATTTAGCCATCCAGTGTAACCTACTGCTGACCAACAGGAGACTTATTAAATCATTTGCTACAACTATGATCATTCATAAAACAGGGAAATAGTACTGACATAATTAAATGTACATGTACATCCTGAGATTTGCCTGCATTTCACTCATTTGAGGCTTTTGTGTTTTGAAACAGGTAAACGCAAATGTAGATAGTGGCATGCATGGGTGGCGACGCCTGGCGACATTGGCAGTCACCTACGGTGCCATTTGATTAGGGGGCACATAAGAGCGAGTGAATAAAAATCAGAATACTTACCTCTGGTGGCATTCTGTGACATTATAGTTATTTACACTACTTATAAAATTTCTGTACTTTTCTTGTGAAACAGATGTGGGCTAGCTACTTAGCAGCCAGAGACACTGTGCTACTGAAATATGTTTTGTATAAATGAACTGACAAAATTTGTGTTCTGCTACTCTGGGAGATTAACAGAATCTCGTCTAGAGTGAAACACCCCGGTCCAGCCTAGATGGTACGTTTCCCATACTGAGTCTATCCTTTATGGAAATACCATTTGTTGTTTTATGCAAAATTCATTTCAGACCTCTGGTGGTGTTTGCTTACCTTTACTTACCTGCAAACTCGTCAAAAGAAAAACCGAAGGAACAATTATGGTGTTCAGCTCTTTAAATATTTCATAATTTCATAACCAGTCACATTGGGGCTTGATTCAGCCTTCAGGAGAGGCAAGACAAAACAGAAAAAACTCCATATATATATATATATACACACACACACATTCACACACTCTCACACACACCTATACATATATACATTTTTCAGGATATAGTGTCACCACATTTAGCTGGACTTACAACACCACCTAAGAGGGTCCGTGCTTATTTCCTATTACACTCTGAGAATTCGCTGCGACAGCCAGACTGAGAGACAGCCATACAAACACAGCAGTTTCGCATGGAGGGAGCCCTTAGCTCTGGGCCCCTGCCGTGAAAAGGCGAGAGTGTCGTCCTGAACGCTCCGCTAGGCCCGGAGAAGCGTCTGCGAGAGCAGTCCGCACCCTCTGTGATCCGGGCCGGGACGATATTGTTCTGTAACAGGATGTCTGCCAGCTGAAAGGGGACCTGCCTAGCCACGGCCGCAGCGTGCGAATGTCCATTGCCCGAGGGTATGTTTGCTTGTGCTTAGCGGGTATGTGTTTGTGGGTATGTCTGTTTCACATGAGGCTTTCCTGTGTGAGCATGTCTGTCGCGTGAAGGGCGTGTGCAATTCAATAAACACCTGTATCAATTAGAACTAAATGCTTATAGAGACTTGTGTGTGGGCATATTTGTATGCCCTACTTAGTAAGTGTGCTATAAGTGTGCTATGAGTAATCATGTATGTTCTAAGATAACACACAAAAAAGGGGGGCAAGGTGTGAGACCCCCCTCCCCTCTTTCCCAACACCATCTTATTTTCCTCTCCTTCAATCTCTCACACCCTCCCTCTATCCCTCTCTCCTACAGACGCGCACAACCACACTATATTCTACAAGAAATAATTGCTTTTGTCTGGAAGGAGTGTGTGTGTGTGTGTGAGTGTGAGTGTGTGTATGTGTGTGGAGGGGGGTAGGGGGTGCGGGGCGCAGTAAGGGGGGTTCGTGAAGGACAACTAGTCGCTTTTTCTTTTTTTCCCTTTTTCGTTCGACTTGCGGATGTCATCTGTCAAATGGAGAACGGAGGGAGGGAGAGGGACAATAAACCGTGTGATACAATTGTGGTGTCTTTGGAGAGAAGAAAAAGGAAAAAATCTAGTTCACTGTTCGTAATTAAAATCTGTAAAATGCAGAGTCTAATACTGATAACATTAAAGTTAAAATAATGTCTTTACTGTAGACATACGTGTTTTAGCATTGTTAGTTGAAATATTTAAAATTGTTAGAAGAAAATATCTATTTGTAACCTTATTTTTGTAAAATGTCACGTCACGCAGAACATATCCACCCGAGGTAAAGGTAGTGAGAAACCCGACTCTTCTCGTAATCGATTCTTCTCCTATTGACTGCAATGTTTAGCGTATGGATTTTTCTATTTAAAAATCCATAATGACAATAATCTGGTGTGTAAACGCGTGGCGCCGAATGTATCTGTACAAGTGGCGGCGTGTAAACGTGGCCGTGACAAGGGAAAAGAAATAAACTGCAAGAAGAGGAGCCAGCAGGCACGCGACACTGGAATGCAGGCAGCACAGTGCCGGGTCACTGCACGGTGGGCTTCGCGGCGCCCCGCGTTTCACGGACTGCGTTACCCCATCACGCCTTTTAGACTCATCTCCGGACGAAATCAAGAGTTTCCTCCACCTCTTTTCAATACTCTAGCTGAAATTCAAACACAATTTAATTGTATAAATATTAATCACTATCGAAAACACAAATGACTCAAAAAGCCCCACACAGGAGTCTTTCTGAGGACAAATTTTAGCTATTAATATATTAATCAAAATTTTCAAGGTGGAATGTGTCTCATTTCTGGGACAATTCCGTTATTTTCTGGAAGTGTTTTCTTTTTTACATTATTTGTTTCTTTTCTGTGGTCTACGGTGCATATGTGGAACAGTTTTGTGTAAGAAATTATTCCTAAATTTATTAACTCCGTACTGAATCAACCTTGTATTGATTAACAGGATTCTACTGCTATTAAGAAGAAGAATCAAGAAATCAATAGAGGATACCTTTGCCGCGGATGGAAAAAAAACGAGCGAGCGTGAAGGGGAGGGAGGACGGAAGGTAGAGAGAGAGAGAGGGAGGGAGAGCCGAGGAACGAGCGAGGGGATGGGGTGGGGGAGGCGGCCAGGGCGGGGGGGTGATGTGTGAGTAGTAGCCGGTCCTCTCTCGCTTCAATGTTGCGGGCAGTGTAGTGCCAGAGCGCTTTAATACGGGAGGGAGTCGGGTCGAATGTGCTATTGGGGTTCCCAAATAACGGGGACAAACAGACAGACAAAAAGACACACAGACGGATGGACGGACAGATAGGCAAGTCATCCCAAAAATTATATAGCGTAAGGGGTTCCGCGTTTTCTTTTTTTGTTTTGTTTTCATTCTTTATTTATTTATTTGCTTTATTTATTTATTTATCGATTGATTGCGTTTTAATTACTACCTTGTGACAGTGAGGGAGGGAGGAGGAGCGAAGGCCAGCTGTGCACGTTGTGTAGCCTTATTTATTATTTATTTATTTTAATTAGATGAATTCGGTTATTTATTTGTATTTAAAACACAAATCGCTGCTTAGTATGCGTGTGCGTGTGTGGGCCAGTGTGAACAGCTAGAAACCAAATATATGAACCAAATACACAAATCCAAATAAGAACACAGCTGCTGGCTTTTATACATATGCCAGTGAGACGAAATATCGTCTTTTTATTGAATTTGAAATTAATATTAATAGTTTTATTTACAAGCGAAAACCAAAGCAAAATCGAGTGGAGGGTGCGAGAGGGAGGCCAGCGACTGTTACGCTGACTGTTCTCACATCTGTCTCGACAGGGAAAGCAAAAAAGACAAAATACTAAGAAAGAAAAAGAAGATTTTATGGGAGAATAACACAGGAAATACACAAAGCGAATTATCCGTGGGCTGCAGCTTGCAATTCACGAAAGCGGCAAACGACAGAGGGGGCAAACAGAAAATACGAATAGTAATATTGCAACTAGTACTACAAATAATAACAACAATAATAACTCAGATCATTGTATAAATAACCAAACAGTAGCATTACCGCTTAAGAAAACGACTCCACTATCCGTCTGTGTGTGTTAGTCTGGGCTGGGAGCTTTAATTACAACACAACCAAGGGACCATCGAACATATGTAGCTATTCTATACATATTTATAAACAGAGAAAAAGAGTCACCGACACAAAACAGATATTTAAAATGTAAATATAACTAGGTTCCATATATTTCAACCTAGTTTTACGAACTACTGCGAATTTATTTTTTTCCATACCAAATATATTTAAAACAATCTACCTGGAAATCAGACGAAGACACAGAGAAGAAAAGAAGAATATTGTCATTATTACGATAATTAATCAAAGAACAGAAGACTGAGGATCATGTTTGTTCCCTTGCCGGTGCCGTTCGTCTTTCAGAGAACTGCTTCCGATATCAACGCTTGGCGTCTCAAGTCCCCGCTGGCTCTGCGGTCCAACTCCGGTAAGACATTAAACTCCTATCCGTAAACCCCTTTTGTCTTACCGATATACTTGCGATATATTTCACTGGAAACTGGGCTACGGGTCTGACCACTCCATCTTACCACGCCGTGGTCGCCGGATCGCTGGTCTTTTAATCCGCTAAAACGAGAAGAAGGCAACAATCTCATTTTTTTCTTTCTGTCTCTCTAATAGAATATACTTTCGTTTCACATCCCATTGTAATCGCATGGAGAAAAGTAAAGTACACGATTATAGGGGGTAAACCCGTTGCTGGAAAAAGAGGACATGAAACAAAACCTTGGCGCATTTTGATCGCTTTCGAAAACAAAACATAACGTGAGCGAGTCTACCGTGGTCCACTTTTCCCGGGGTTAATTCACATTTCTTTCAATCGGTAAATCCTCGCCCTGTGATTTTTTTTTCAACTACGGCTTCTCTGATTTCGGTTTCCATCCGTATGTTCCCATCCACTCCATCTCCCTCTGTCTCAGCCTCCGTCTCTCCCGAGCTAGACTCACGGCGGGCTGGGAATATTCATGCCAACTTATCGATCCTGCGGAGATCGATTCCAGGGCCGGCGGATACACGGAGAGAGGGGGAGAGAGAGATTGAAAAGGGGTGAAAGGAAGAACGGGTGCGCTGAAAGAAGAAAAGGGGATATGTTCTTATTTATTCCTAAGTCACTGACACGGACGCGCTATATTATGATTTGACCCGGGTTACCTTAGTTCTGTATGCCATAGCCATAAACTGTGGTGTGCATAGACAATCGTGATGCATTGCATTTGTTTATTAAATCCGCTGCGTCAAAGGATCACCTTGAGGAGAAACATTACGGAAACGCCAGGTGTTAGGAACTGATCCGCCTATACCTATGGCTGTCGGTGCTTGATGGCTGATTTTGTGGTTGCCAGACCAGCAGACTAAGAGAGGGAGGGTGTGAGACTTGGACGGAGCGCCGTCTGTGCTATTCTTTCCACTGAAGCGGAATAAGAGGATGGACTGACGGAAGGAGCGAGAGTCTATGTCTGTCTGTGATTTGGACCCTCATCGGTTATAAAACGAGACAGGATGCTGTTCCTTTTCCGTTTGATGTGGAGGGGAGGAGTGAGAGAAGGATGCGTATTTGTTTCTGCGTGTGCGCTGTTTCTGTTTGGCTACCGGAGTATATGGTGAAGTCCTGGATAAAGGAGGACGAGCATGTGCATAGGCTGCTATTCACGGTACACTGTCTAACTGTGGTGCCCATGGATATCAATCAGTTTATCCTGCCGTTGTAGCGTTTTTCATTTAAGGTGATCTAAGTGACTGTGCCCCTCTCTTAAAGGGACCAACAAGAGATTTGGTTGAGGCTCTGCTCTCTATCTCGGTCTAAGCAGCACAGACCGACTTCACGAACACAGACCGCATTTCCTCAAGAAAACTTCACAATCTGTTGCTCCATTTTCTTGGTTTTTATTCGAAAGAGGGACTACGGAGAGAGGGAGTGGCCGTGTATAACCTGTTACCTGTGTGTGTCCCTGGAGATGAGAGGGATGGGATCGCTGGGGGGGGGGTTGGGCTGTGGGCAGGAGGAGGGTGCTGTATGGGGAGAGGTTTGCTCCTGCACGCTGAGAAATGGCGAATGTCAGGCTGAGATTAAAAAACCCGTAACTGTACAGACTGTAAAGGAAGGTAAAAGCAGATGATGGTGAAAAATGAAGCAGAAAGAGTAAAGAAACTCGAATACGGGACTTGACTTAATTTTGCCTTGAATTAATACCTTGTTCAGTTTTCAGCGAATCGTTTGCAAACGGGTGAGAAATGTGGCACATTAAATATGTACAACACGCTCGCTCACATATTATGTCATTATATTGCTTGTGTATGTGTCACAGTGCTGTTTCTGCATCCATAAAATATCTCTGTGTAGAAATGTACTGATATTAATACTGCATAACGCTAACTATTAATCTCTAAATTAGAAACATATGTAGAAGATAACCATGTGCCCTTCTTAGAAGCTATTTGTTGCTAGACATATACTCTTGTTAATGAGTAAAGTAAAGGATTTGTAAACAAACAAACAAAAAAAGGTTTTGATAACTATTGGTCTAGGCTTTTGTGCTAAACACAACCTGTATTTGGAACAACATGGCATCCATTTTGTATTTCATTACAAACTCTTTGGACATTCATTTCAGTCTGTTTTGAACTGTTAAGCACTAAATTTGGATTATGTCTACATATCTGCATGTGACTTAGACAGACTGGCTTTGCTGGTGGGGTTCTCAGTGATCATTCTGTCATTACCCAACATACCAAGGCCAGCGCACTAAAATGTGTGTACGTTGCTCATATTTACCTGGGAATGGGGTTTATGTGAAATCAACGAATCCCTAACGCATCTGTTCAAAGGAAGATTTTAAGAGATTGGCTTGTGTTTGGGCAGGTCATTGGCTCAGATCAGGTAATGGGTAGCTAAGCCACACCCTCTTCAAAATGGATCCTCAAAATGCAATTAAAGATGTATAAGCATGCCTTGATGCTTTTCTCACAGCTAATCTGTCACCGAGGTACATTTGCTCTTACGCAGCAGATGGAGCCTGCAGCCTCCTCCTCATATGTGAGGATGGTGCACTGAGGTCCCTTCGACTCGAATGAAGATCCATCCTCATTCCCTTCAGAACGGGCAAAGCCCAGCATTCTCCACTTGGCCGCATGGCCCTTCAGCCATCGGGGGGCACCACAGTTATTTATCCCACCCATACGTCTCTTCATTTTGCTTTACTTACACTTTTTTTTTCTGTGTTCGTGCCCCAGTTTGGTAGCAGCCTGTTTCTGTGACACCCAGCCAAATCTGTCTGACGCTGCACATGGGGGGTGCTTTCACTGGGCTCCTGCGCATAGGCTGAGTCCCGTCTGGCTCAGGAGACGGCGCCGTCCTGCCTGGGGAGGCAGGTTGAGAGCTGAAGCCTCAGTCTGCTGGGCCTGGCTAGCGAAACACACAGACTGTGGCAGCAACGGAGGCATCCTACTGCGGGTGTGCCGGAAACGAGCGCTCGCTGGCAGGGAGGTGCGTCACGCTGGGAATTCAGCGGCACACCGCTCAGGGTGGGTGGGGCCTTGGCATGGGGGCGTTTCATGTTTTTCACACCTACTGTGGAAGCAAAGCATTGTGCAAAAGTTTCTTAAACGAACGCTTCATAACAGACATTGTGCTGCCCCCACCAAGGCCTGGAAACACTCAGAGATGCAGGGCATTTCAGCGGCTGTGAGTGCCTTAAATGCCCCATGGAGACCCGTCCCGGGAGCCTCACACATGACGGCACCCATGACGGGCGTGAGGTAGCCCCCGCCCCCCCCAGCCCACCCGCCACGTGTGCTGAGCCCTTCCTAGCTTCTTAGCGGCGTGGCGGTGCGAAGGATGTTCTACTGCCTTCGTGCCCCCCCCTCGCCCCCGCGCCACCATTCTCCCCCCCATGGGGGACGCGTGCGTCGGCGTGAGAGTGTGTGCATAGATCGGCGATTCGCAGGGAGAGTGTGTGAGTCCCAGTGCTAACATGATTGTGAATGACAAAATGTCAACCAGGGTTTGTTAGTAACATAATGGGGAATCAATAGACACAAGAAAGATGTCAATACAACATGCTTTATTGCATTAAGCTACCTCTCTCTCTCTCTCTCTCTCTGTCTTGCTCACTCTCTCTTTCTCTCTCTCACGTCCTTCACTCTTTTCTCTGCTTCAGCCAGTAGCTCTCTCTCTCTTCCCTCCCTCCCTCTTTCCCTTGTTTCTCGTTCATTTGCTTCAGCAAGGCAATTACTCTCCTTCGTTTTGTTTTTGTCTGGATAATAAATAGATACGTATGAATAAATCATAAACCATGTGGAAACTGGATTATGGCGAGCTGGATGTGGCTCACACTTGTGGGCTGGGGTATTGATCTGATGCCATTCTGGGAGCATTTAAGCCGATGTCCCTCTGTACAAACCCATCGCCTGTCTGTTGGTTTTTTAGGATCCTGGCCCAGTTGTTGCCTATAACACATAAATCGTTTTGTGTTGCGTATCGAAATGTAGGCCATGGTGCAAACAAACCCCATTTCCACCACCGCCCCAGAGGGCGACACTGTCCCAGGGCATCCTGGGAAGGGCGGAAGCAATTTTTGGGGCATGTGCGCCAAACCTGTGTGTTTCTGCCTGTCGCCGTTGGGGAGGTCTTCTGAAGGAACAATAGCCTGCTACTTTTTCGGGATGGGGGGGGCACACATTTACCTGAGCTGGCTGGCAACAGAGCGCACCCTGCTGGTGTGATCAGACTCAGCAGATCAACTGGCAGGACATGGCTAAGTATCGCTGAGGCTGAGATGTGGCCGTCAGTGTGTATGTATGTGTGTGTGTGTGTGTGTGTATGTGCGTGCGCGTGTGTCCGTGGATTATGTTTATTTTATGTTGTGAGGACCAAATGTTCCCCACAATGTAATAAAAGCCTGTTATTTTGACGTTGTGTGGATCATTTTTCAGGTCCCCACAAAGATCTGTGAATGCAGTCAAAAAAGTAAAAATGCTGAAAGCCTCATATTTTGTTTGGTTACTTATGGTTAAGGTTAGGGCTGGGTAGGGGTTAAGGTCGTCGTGTTGTGATTAGAGTTTTCCTCATAGAAATTGAGTCCCCACAAAGACATAATTACAAACCTGTGTGTTTGCGTGGATGTGTTTGTATGTGTCCATATGTGTCTGTGTCTGTGTGTGTGTATGTGTGTGTGGGTGTGTGTGTCCGTGTGTGTGAACCTGTGTGTGTGTGTGCGCGTACGTGCGTACGTGTGTCTGCTCCTGACAATGTCACTCTGTGTAGTAATTACACTGGCCAGCTCCCACATTCTCATTTACAGCCGCTGGTGGTTCTCCCTGTGCATAATGCTCAGAAAACACACACTCCCACTCGCCGACCATTACCGCCAATTACGGACACGGCACACGGCACCAACACGCTAATGAAGGCCCAAATACACACATCTC